GAATTATTCCTACAATCAAGTCTGAACCGAACAGTCTTCTTTAGGTCACGCCACAGCAGTGCATCAGCTGCCCTTCCAAGGACTTCTTGACACAGTTTTGAGTTAGTTGTTCAGACCCTGAGGTGGCCAGTCGATCCAGATCATGGTGCTCCTTCCACTATCACTCACATTTCAATGCTGCTTTGCATTTTGGGTTAAATATTTAAATAGAGATTTTAGCACGTTGTTGGTATTTCTGAAGGTGTTTTCTTTGAATCTCTGGTTCACATCACGAAATCTTGATGACATGCATGATGTGGGTCCAGAAATCTGAAGTCCTTGGCGTTTCGCTGAGTTGATTGAGTGCACCTTTTCCAATCTCATCTTCATACCCAAAACAGCTGACTACATAGCTTTGTAGAAAATTAATTAACATAGATGTTCACAAACCGGGACTGTGTACAGAAAAGGTACATGTGTGGTTTAACCTGGTTGTGTTTATTGATGACTGTGACCTTACGTGACATTCAGACCACATTATATGAGAAATAAATCCTAGTGAGTCAAACTTCTTGATCCAGTGGAATTACAAAGATTATTGCTGAACAAGCCAAAAAAACTCCCCAGCTCCCCTTAATGTCCACATCCACACACCTAGTAACAATCACAGTGATTCACACTAATCACTCTCACACACAACAGTTGGAATTATAGGAATGGATAAAAATTGGGGAGGGGGGGGGTCTGATGATAGTGAAACAAGCTTACTGACGCTGATGCTGTTCAATGTTCAAAAATAATCCTTATATGTGGGAGTAAAAGCAATGCTAATGCTTTTTTTTTTTTACTGCACAAAAGAAATGGGTTTAAATGTTCATTAGACCGATTAAAAAAAAAAATCCAGATGCTAGAAACCATCAATCTTAGAATGGGAAGGTTCTATGAGATGCGTTTAACAAAAAAATTAATCTATACCAACATCAGCTGTATTGGGGAGGATAAACTGGGTTCTCTTGGGATTCCAGGCACACAGCTCAATGCAATGACCGTGTTTTACATCTCCAATCTGTTACAGTGGGATCTCCCCTGCTTCAATCCCATGGATGATTAAGCGTGATAATTAAGGTTTTTGGACATTTTCCACAGAGGAGCAGACGTGGCAGCTGGTGACATTCATGCATTCCCAAACACAGAGGAGGGAATTACAATGAGGCCTCCATTCATTTCAGTGATCACAAAGTCTGCTCTTGGCACCAGTTCAAAAATAGTCAAGCTGTTGTTGAAAATGACTATTTGTGGCCCTTTTTGTTGCAATGTACCTTAATCTATTTGGGAAACCAATGGAGAGCAGCCAAATATTTGAATTTTAGAGGAAGGAATTTGGCACTGTTAACACAAAGAAAAGAAATACTATTATTGCAATACTATTAATATTTGTAATAGTACAGCACAATATTACATATATTAATGAGATTGAAAAGCTGCTTTTTGTTAGCACCAGCCCATGTTGCTGTATGAGAACGCGGGGAATAAATTACCAAGCATACACAAAAATTAGGTTTTCAAGTTCATCAAAACTATGTGAAAATTACTAAAGTGAAACAGATGGATATTTAAAAATTTCATGGTTATGATGACAAGGTATTCATACAAAAAAGGCATCATTGTTGTTTTAATAAGAGGCCTTTGTCTCAGTTAGACACTGCATTATACAGATATGTATTATACAGTCTTGAAGCATTCAAACCTTATGAGTCAGACACAGCAGAATTTAGGCTGTGTAAGAAAGGTGCATTATAATAAATATATATAAATAAATAAATAAATACCCTCTGATATATTGTTCAAAAAAGACTTACACTGAGAACACTTAAGGAAATCCTTTCCTGCTGTTCTTTATAAAACCCTACATCAACTCCCTTTTTTATGACAGGCGAACACACATGTCAGGATGCAGCACACATTTCCGCGTTATTCCTTTGTGCTGTTGTTTCGTAATCTAGTATACTAGTGTAATTATTATTGGTTAATGTTATTTGCATTGCTGTTTACTAAAATGTCTTTTTTTGTACAATATTATTTTTCAGTAACTTTTTTTCATCATTTTATCAGTTTTGTATATAGAATTTTGCGCCATCTCACATTATAATCGTGTGTGTCTATGGTACTTTTAACAGTGTTGCCTCTGTTTGTCTGTTTGTCTATCTATCTATCTATCTATCTATCTATCTATCTATCTATCTATCTATCTATCTATCTATCTGTCATCCCTCTAATAGAGTAGATTATTACATTAGACATTATTGCATACCTGTCCATCTTCCGTCATCTTGAGAAGCTGTAGCTGTAAAGAAAAAGCAACTTTTTCAGTGGCTTCAAAGAAAAGGAAAGAAATAAAAAAGAGAGACAAAGATGGAGCGCTTACAGCTATAACGACTCCATCTCCCAGGATTCCTTTTTGCACTCCTAAAGCGGAAACGCTGGAGGGACTCCATGGAAACGGCCCACTAGCGTGCGTGCCTGATAGAAAAGAGCGTTCATTGATAGCTAGCTAACGTAAAATCAGAGATTCTATCAACGCGGATCTACCCGAACATATTTCTCACCGTGTGCCTTCAATGATGATGAGCCGTACGCCTGACGCGAGCGCGAGGTAAGAAAGATCCCACCCGTCAAACACACCCCGTGTTATTTAGTGGGGAGAGTTAACGTTAGCATTAACAAAATAATCGGACGTACTGTGTATGCATAAAGGTAGGCTAGCAGTTAACTAGTTAACCTGTGTCGTCACGCTTCTCATCGATAAACTGCACTCATAACGAGTTATTTGTTCGTCGGTTAAGCCATAGTTAGTGATGCTATATAGCTATAGAGTCACTATTCACTCAACGGGCATGTGTTTATAATAATAAAACAGCGCACTTACTAGTTTAGCTGTTTTATTGCATGCAGCTGGTCGAGTGACCGTATAACCAAAGAGTAATGGAGCGAAGGATAACAAGCCAGGATGCATCGCATCTACAGGATGTTTTGTATGGATTGCTACTTGCATTTAGATGAAACAGCAATAAGTAATTTTCACAGGCCTTGTGCAAAATAGACGTTTATCGTTTTCCCTACTCAAATATATGAAACCGTTTATAAAATTATGTTTTATTACTGCTGTTGACGTTCTCCTTTATCCTTTCCAGGGATAACCAGACAAGGAGGATCCAAGAGAACATCACCAATGTGGAGAAACATTTTGGACAAATGTGCCAACTCTTTGCTGCCTATGTCAGTAAGACAGCCAAGGTACGAGACAAGGCAGACCTTCTGGTCCGGGAAATCAGCCTGTATGCAGACACCGAAACACCAAGCCTTAAGAGGGGGATGAAGCAGTATGCTGACCATCTGGCCAAGATTCAAGATTATCGTCAAGCTCAGGTGGACCTCCTTGAATCCTTACCTTCAATCATTATTTTGTGTTCATATCCATAATTTAAATATTGGGTAGAAGAGAAACTAATGCAGAGCTGGTCTTGCAGGTGGAACGACTTGAATCTAAAATCATAGAGCCATTAAAAAGCTATGGAGCTGTAGTGAAACGGAAAAGGGTAAGTTTTACTGCAGCCTACTGCCATGTTGACACTGATTTGAACCACACATCCATCCAATCAGGTGCGCTGGAGCCTATCCCAGCTGTAATAAAGCAGGATTTGGAGTACAACCTGGACAGGTAATCAGGTTGTCACAGGGCCAACAGGGATTTTAGTGAATTTTTTCAGTGCCTTGTTGTGACTTTTTCTGTCAGATATTTTTGTGTTAAAATCCAAAATTTTACACACAAATTCATAAATAAATTTGTGAAATTTTGCAATGGTGTCGCTAAATGAATAATTCAATTCAATTTTATTTATATAGCACCAAATCACAACAACAGTCGCCTCAAGGCACTTTATATTGTACAGTAGATCCTAAAATATTAGATACAGAGAAAAACCTAACAATCTTATGACCCCCTATGAGCAAGCACTTTGGCAACAGTGGGAGGGAAAAACTCCCTTTTAACAGGAAGAAACCTCAGAGAGGTTGCAGAGAGGTCTATTAACACATAGTGAAGGAAAAACTCAGTGCATCATGGGAGTCCCCCAGCAGCCTACATCTATTGCAGCATAACTAAGGGAGGATTCAGGGTCACCTGGTCCTAACTATATGCTTTAGCAAAAAGGAAAGTTTTAAGTCTAATCTTAAAAGTAGAGATAGTGTCTGTCTCCCGAATCCAAAAGGGAAGCTGGTTCCACAGAAGAGCGCCCTGAAAACTGAAGGCTCTCCCTCCCATTCTACTTTTAAATACTCTAGGAACAACAAGTAAGCCTAGATGAAGGAGCCTAGGGGGCAGTGAGGGACGCACAGCAATTTGCTGTTGGTGTCATTACTATGGCAAAGGCACATGAGGGCAGTATTGTCTTAATGATAACATATCGTATCGTTACCAGACGCCGCACTACTGTCCAAATTGTCTTAAGTAAATGTTTGCCTTGTTTGGCTTGTGTGTGTGTGTGCGTGTGCGTGTGTGCGTGTGTGTGTGTGTGTGTGCGTGTGTCTGCTCTTGCATGCATTCATTCATTTTAATTTTTAAAAAAATGTGCCCTCTCCTTCAATATGTTCAATGGCTAAAGTCACAGAGCAATTAAAGACCTATGGTTGACAGTACAGTTGAAGATAAACCAAAAACTTGCACAACAGGATCTACTGGAGATCCTGATCCTCACTGATGCACACCAAATTCTTATATGTTAAGTCATGTTTAGCAAACTGTGCATTACACGCTACCACTATTAATTCTTTTGATAACTTCTGGGAATTTGTGTATCCGTGCAGGAGGATCTGAAGACTACTCAGAGTGCCAGAGACAGAGAAGCCAAACAGATGGCTCAGCTCGAGAGGACCAGGCAGAGAAACCCCTCAGACAGGCAGATCATTGTATCCTTGACTTGTTTCTCTTCAGTTCTTTAAATCTCTCTCTGATACCAGATTGACAAAAAGGCTTCAGTGTTACAACAGCCATCTGTATAAATAATCAAATGAATGCCTGCTAATATCAATTCAATTCTTCGTTAGTTATAGACATCTACTTAGAGCTGTTTGAAATGTTTGTTGTGCCAAGTTTGGACAGTTTAAGCTTATGTTTCTTAAGTTTCCTTGACTGAGCTTTCAGTCTCAGGTACATCCCATGTAATATGTGTTTTCATCAGTGGTAATGTATGAATAGAAATATGAAAAACATTCCAGAAACAAACTCACAAGCACAGTGTAAATTCTTTACAAGAGCTTAAACCAGTTGGACACTGCACCTGACTTATTTTAGTCTGTTATGTTTTGAGTTGAGTTTTATATGTATATATATTATTTTTGCCGTTAGGCTGAGAGTGAACTCCAGAGAGCCACCATGGATGCCACACGGACCACGAAGCAGCTGGAGGAGACCATCGATGAGTTTGAGAGGCAGAAGATCCAAGACATCAAGGTTTTCTTTCTGTGCACCTCAGATTATTAAGTACTGGCTTCAAACTTGCATTAAAGCATTCACACTTGAGAATTTTAAAGAAAACATATTTAATTAGTAAAAATTTGGAACCGTTAAAATGCAATAGGAATGAGTAACTTATAAGAAAGACCGAATGACAACGGACCCGACCTGTATGTAGTACAGCTAATGTTATTTTAAACTATAAATAATAAACCTAAATACATAAGTTTACAGTTTAAACAACTGAATTATCAAAAAATATGATTTTGAGCTGTGTTTAACACGGTCGCTAATAGAGGAAAGGACGCAACATTCGACATTTTGTTACAGGTCAGATACTTAAATCCTTATACTAAATTCAGTTATGATAGCTTTTAATTGTAAACATAGAAATTAAGATGGGAATGATTGAACAGGCAAGCAGTACTTGACTACAGAGTAACAAATGGCCACATCTGCCGTTCACAGCAACTACAGTGGGGCAAAAAAGTATTTAGTCAGCCACCGATTGTGCAAGTTCCCCCACTTAAAATGATGACAGAGGTCAGTAATTTGCACCAG